TATAAGAGACAGTATATATAGTGCCTCAACTGTCTACCAATAATTTTGACAAGAAAATTTTTATTTTCTTCTTTGTAGCTGTAAAGGTCATCAAAAGTAGTGATGCCAAAATTTAAGACTGATCATCTGCCTATAATTTATCTTGAAAATAATAATTGAGTTAATTTCTTTCAGTTCAGCAGTAATTGCCGGTATCTTATTCTGCATAAATACTCTTAAGAAACATTTAAATTTGCCTTTATCAGCAAGGAATTAATTTCAATAAAGATTAATCTCCATTCCTTACCTCTTTGTCCTGAATTCAGAATCATGCAAACTTGTTTGCTGCTACAGATACCAGGATATGTAGCAATTACTGTTATGCACAAAGTTGCTTTTTCCTCTAACAAAGCTTGAGTGTTCCTTGGCAAGGTCTCTGCATGCAAAATGTAATTCAGCAAAAAGGGAACTTGATTATTTATTTCTTAAAAGCTTTTATAGTCATATCTACCTCTGCAATGTGTGTGTGATGTCCTGAATTGTTTTACATAGTTTTACAGGGACTATATTCACACACAAAAGAACAGATTGTATCAGAAATTAAATATGTTTAGTACATGCAGTAGAAAATTTATGTTTTTAAACACCAAGTATTAAAAATTCACATGTAATTGGAAGGGAAAAAGGAGGAAAAATTAATGGAAGAATACTCTAATAATCAATAGTAATAAACTATTAATACTTTACCTAGTTATTGATAGTATCATAGAATCATAGGCTGGTTTAGGTTGGAAGGAACCTTTAAAGATAATCTAGTCTACCCCCCTTATGATAGGCAGGGATCTTAAAATTAATTCATTAATTAGTTGATTAGATCAGGTTGCTCAAAGCCTCATTCAAGCTGGCCTTGAACATTTCCAGGGAGGGACATCTACAACTTCTCCTGGAGAACACATCTTGTATTTTACCCCCCTCATCATAAAAGATTTCTTCCTTACATCTAATCGAAATCTACCCTCTTTCAGTATAGAAATGTTGCCCCTTGTCCTATCACTACAAGCCCTGATAAAAAAGTTTCTCTCCATCTTTCTTATAAGCTCCCTTTAAGTATTGAAAGGGCACAGTAAGACATCCCCTAAGCCTTCTCTTCTCCAGGCTGAACAACCCCAACTCTCTCAGCCTTTCTTCATAGGTGAGGTGTTTCAGCCCTCTGATCATACTCATGGCCCTCCTTTGGGTGTGCTCCAACAGGTCTATATCCTTCTTTTGCAGGGGACCCCAGAGCTGGATGCAAGACTCCGTGTGGGGTCTCACAAGAGCAGAGCAGAGGGGCAGAATCACCTCCTTCAAACTGCTGGCCACAGTTCTTGTTATGCAGCCCAGGATCATAGAACCATAGAATGGTTTGGGTTGGAAGGGACCCTTAAAGTTCATCTAGTCCAACTCTCCTGCAATGAGCAGGGACATCTTCAACTAGATCAGATTGTTCAGAGCCCCGTTCAACCTGACCTTCAATGTTTCCAGGGATGGAACACCTAACACTTATTTGGGCAACCTGTGCCAGTGTTTCACCACCCTCAGGGATATGATTGGCTTTCTGGGCTGCAAGTGTACATTGCTGGCTCATGTCCAATTTTTCATCCACCAGTATCCTTAGGTCCTTCTCTGCAAGGCTGCTTTCAATCCCTTCATCACCCACACAGTACTGATACAGATCTAATACAACAACCTATGTCTCTAAAGATACCTACATATTTGAAAAATATGTTTACTGGTAGATACTTCACCTTGAACAAGATGTATTTCAGTACTCACTAGTTTGTTTCTATGCTCTATCACTTCTAGTGAAATAATATGATCTTTAGAATCAAAACATCTTAACCTTGCCCTTGTGCAGTGTAAATATCAAAACGATGATTTTTCACCCTCTAGGTAGATCTAAAAATGAAAGCTTTCAGTGTAAATAAAAACCATGCAAAATATATCTTAAATCTCTTATAGATATTTTTGAAAAAAACCCACTAGTTTATTCAGTATTTTTCTGCTACAGTACCCCCAAGAGTGATAAAACCAGAATCCTTAATCTTTGATAAGATTAATACATTAAAAACCAGTTTGAAAAACAGAAACTGTGAAGATGTCTTTCTTGATTTTGATATGTTGAATATTTGATTGGGATAAAGGTTTGGTCATTGTCATTTACATGCAAAATCAAGAATATTTTTCATCTAGGTATGTCAGGATAAGTATTTTTTACTGTCACCTGCACTGATTAATAAGTATCTTCTGAATTACTTCAAGATCCACACCCTACGCTCTTACATGTGGTGTGGAGAGTACAAAGACTGCATACCTTCAAATATCTTTACAACTAACAAACATTTAATAAAGCTTCCAACTTTTAAGTGAACAGGGTATTAGTCAAATTATGCACTACATAGTAACAATTATAAAAATGCATACTGTTATGAAAATAATCTTTGAGTGGAAAGATTAAAAAAAAAAAAATTACTTCCATAGTTTTTTTAATGTAAAGGAGGAAACAAACAAACAACTTTCTTTACAAAAGAGTGAGGGGGACCAACTCCCTTCAAGGATAAAGGAATTACTGAAACTCTTAACACAGCCATTTTCTGATTTTCCATTTATGACATATATGAAAGATGTACAAATATATGTGTTTGATTTGTATGTATGCATACTTGCTCACACATATATACATGCACGCATGCACACACACACACTGCACAAAGACCCATGGAGAGATTTCTAGGAAGACTAAATTAAGTTGTAATAGTATCCATACTTCAAATTGCTGAACATGCTCATTCGGTGTTCAGTGTAGTATGTTGCTATTTCCAAAGAAGATGTAGACCATTTCCATCTTTGAGCATAAAGACTGAAACTCCTTATCATATTATTTTATTGATGAAAGATTAAAAAAGATTTTGAAATAATTTTTAGCTATGAAATTTAATCCTGATTTGCTTATTCAGTTTTACTTAGGGAAAAGATTATTGATTATTTTCTTAATAGTTCCTTCTTTTTAGAATATATTCTGTTTCTTTTCATTGTCAAGATGGTAAACATGAACTTTCCCCCTTCATTATTTCTTCTAAGTAGTATGGGACGTTACACAAATCTTTGGATCAAATGTCTTCAAATTAAATATTTCATGCAAAATATTTTTTAATCAATTTCAACAGACAATTCAATGATTCTAATAAAATTATTCCACTGATTTAGTCCATAGATGAGAACAGAATATAGGCCAAAACATCTATAGGGAAGTAGTTTTGTATCTGGCAGGAACATGAAAGAGTAAACAAGGAAGAATATCAGAATAAATATAAATACTGATATTTATTAACATTATAATGCTGGCTTCATAATTACTTTATTGAAAATAACAAACTGTAATAAACTTAATAATGTAGCAGTATTGATACTTTTACATTTATTTCCATGATAAAAATACTTCGTGTCCTTTAAAAAATAAACACCATACCCTTTATACTTGTTGATATATGTGGAATTATTTGTGCTTGGCTACAAAAATTTAAAAATAATTAAAAAAAAAAAAAAAAAAAGACAAATTTTGAACAGAATACAGGACGTGTCATGAAGAGATAGAATACATTCTTCTTAAAATTAATCCATCTCATTAAACTTGAAAAGTAACTGTACCACTGTTGCTGCAGGTGTGCAGGTTATTCGTTATTATTTAATAGGCATTAACTCATTTTAAGTTATCTACTGCATACTAAGTAATCTCAATTTAGAAAAGCCCTCTAAAACTGTTCAAGAACAGTTTGTACTCATTCATGTTGAGAACAAATACCAACTGACAACTTCAATAGCTACAGTCACAAGGCTTGCCCAGTTAGTTGTGAAAATCAGTCCATCAAGGTGGATTGCAATTGTTCTGGTGAATTCCCCGAGAAGTGTATGCTAGCTATTTTAACCTCCAATTTCTAGTTCAGGAGAATTACAAACCTGGAGTTTCACATGAGAAAGAAGGAGAACTATGGAAATCATAGTCACACAAGCCTAGGATGGGCCACAGAGCAAGGCTAAGTACTGCACAGATGCTACTTCCGAGTTGTTGTGTGACTTGGCAAAATCCTCATTCTTTTTTTCCCTCACTTTTATATTTGCCCTCACCTGTAAGTCAGTGGGTTCTCAAGTAAAACTGAGGCTTAAGGAAAACATGTTTAATGACACAATAGAAGCCACAGACATTTTTTTTTGCTATTAGAAAAGAATAATGGGGATTTTAGTCATTGAAATGGGGCCATTTGCCTATGCAAACCTGCTGTGTTCTGGACAAGTAGCTGAAGTTTCAGGCACCATTGGGAGGGAGGTCAGAAGAACTGAGCAGGGACCACGTTGAGAGTTGATAAACTGAGAGTTAGGTCACAATATATCTTAGATGATCTTGGAATATGAACCAACTTTAAAACCCCCTATGGAATAGAAAGCCTGGAAAAGAATAATTTGGGAAATAACTGTCTATGATATTGACAAGATAACATACACTCCTGTTCTCTGAACATTTAAAAATTAAATTATTTTTTTTTTGTTCCAGACTGTAACAATTATTAGAGAATATATTGTCCAATTCTAATGTCTTTGAATCAAATTAAATTGAAAGAAAGAAAATGCTAGAAGAAAACTTCATCATTCCTTGGATATAGTTCTAGATATATGTTCTGTCTAGTAGAAATAAAGATTAATCCTTTATAATTGCAACTCTGGTTTTGTGCTAAATGTTTTCACCTTATGAACTGCTCTTGGGCTTACTGTGAAACAGTTATAGAAGAAATTAATCCAATTTGCAAGGTGCATCATTGTGAAAGCTCACACACTGAGAAGAAGTCCTTGCCATCATATGCTGCAAATGCTGCAACTTTCTGGAAAGGACATATACTGCTGATAAATGGTATTTTTCACTTCAAAATTCAGTTGAAAATTCTAAAAATAATAGAAATTATTATCTTGACAATTTATTAATTGAGATGTAAAAAACTGAGTCTCTGATTTAAAAAAAATAAACACAACAAAAAACAAAAAACCAAACAACACACCCTTGAACACATTAGTTAAATTTTCTTTATTAGAACCTGTGCAAGTCAGAATTTATCCCCAAGGTTATCCTCAGAGAGACAGCACATGCATCTGATTTAGAATGATTGTCAAACATTAAAACTACAACAAAGTAAGAATTTAATTAAAAGCAGAAAAAATAATCAAAGTCAATATGAAAATTGTAGAAATTATATCACTGACATGAAGAACTCCTTGCCCAAACCAAAAAAATAATATTTTCTCTTGTGCAATGATGCAAGCAGAAAAATATATATCAGCTTAGCTCAGGATAATACTAAATCAATCAAGGCAGGTTTCTGCTAATGAGGTTTCCTATTTTTGCTAAGATTAATCTGAAAGTCATTCCTTCACGAGAGAAAAACATGTAGACATTCTGAAGCTCTGACTGCTTACCAAAGAATGATGAATCGCAGTCATTTTTCAGGGTCAGAGAATAGGATTATTATAAGTTACCCCAGCGAAATAAGTAGCTGATATCAGTTAATATCTTTAGAAATCTATGCTTTTACTTTGAATGGCCTTGGTGTTTAGTCCACTGGTGAAATATTAGAAGCCTTAGCATGTGAAATGCATAATTTGAAAAAGAGTTTACAAAGTAACCCTGTAAGCTTTTTTTTTTTTTTTTAAAAAAAAAGGAAAAACAGTGATTACATTTTTACTCATATCTTGTACACTTTATTACACTACAGTAAAGAACTTCCTATTTCAAATGCCACATGAAAGTAATGGGACGCTGCAGAAAATATGCACATATATGTATAAGAGCAGCGGAATCTAGCCCTACTATGTCTACAATTCAAGGTGAAATAGAAGTTTCCTCTGATACATAGCAGATAAGATACAGTTAGTCCTACATTTTCTTGCAATACATTACACTGAAATTTCATTAATTACATGCTTCTATAGTAGTTTTCAGTAGAAAATAATTCCACATTTGAAATACTAATGCTATGTCCCAAGATATGGAAAGCTAAGAAAGCTAAAAACATTCCAGAAAGCCCAGAGATGATCCTCAAACATCTTTATCTCTGTAGAAAAGGCTGAGGCTCTCGTAACCAAGAGTTTTTCCTAGTATATATCCAATAGAATGAGAGAAATTCCACTTAGTAACTATGAGCAATTTCATTTTGCTCTCAGGTCTACTTTTCACACTCTACTGTAAACAAGGTCAGAAGCTTAGAGAAGCAGCAGCTAGCTTTATTTCAAAGTTAGTTTCTTGGTGTACCATCCAGCTGCTATTTGGATTTTATATCCACTATAGGAAAGGTCCAGGACAATAGGCATTTTAACGGCCTAATGAAGACTTACTCTACTTGTGGGATGCAGTTACAAAGTCAATCCAGTTGAGATTCTTTGAATCTGAATGAAGACAACACAGTAGACAAAACAAGCTAGGATAGTAGTAGACAAAAGTAGTAGACAAACACAGCAAGGATAGAACCAAATAGTCCATTTGTTCACCCTGACTTAACAGTTGTTATTCTCATTAAAAATGTGGAAAATAATTTTTAATATTAAAGTTCTATGTGATTAGGATATGACAAAGATAGAGAACAGTCCTCTCTCCTTGTGAAAAATCAATTTATTTGTTAGTGTGATAATCTAGCAGTCTTTTATTTTGATCTGTAGGTAAGGCCAAGTTATGAAATAAAGACCTGCTTCCATGAGTGTGATGCTTATTTTACTTTGACTGACTCACTCTGCTATATAAAGTATTGGTAAAATGCTCATCCCTGTACAATACCTAAAAATAAAAGCAGCATCTTACTGAAGGAGTGCATAATTCCGGGCTGCATGGCAATATGTATAATTAATCAAACTGTTCTGAAGTGCTTGGAGTGACAAATATGAGTAGGTGGAGAGGCTTGATTTTTTTTTTTTTTTGGTGGATAGAACGATTTAGGAAAGTTAGGATAGAGAGAAAGCAGCGATTCTTGAGTAGGGATTTATAAAAACAGAAAAATGTAAACATTTTGGAATTCAGCATTTCAGTACAAAATATATGTAACAATATGTGTAAAAATATGTGTGTTTTCATGATATTTATATACTTGATAATGGCTGGTGAATTTCTAATATTCTAACTATGATGTTGACAGGCAGTTGAGGAGAACTGCTCAAAACTTTGTTTTAAAAAGGTATTTAAGCTATAGATTCTGAGAAAAAGGGAAGGATGGTTAACTGCCTTTGTTATCATGACTTGTTCATGCTGTCAACATGTGAATGAGTCTCCAAACGTGGTATTGTTTTTACTGTGTAATTGGTTATTTGGTCCATATAATATTCTTGTAATTTTATTTGTTTCAGAAGATATTGTTTTGCTTTGAAGATATGAAAGATTAATGAAAATTATGGAAATACTTTTCAGTGCTTAATTACAAAAAATACCTTTTAACAACTACAGAAAAGAAAGGAAGAGTGAACATAAATACCATAAAAATAGTGTTGCTTCTACAAGCTCTGCTCACAAATATTAAACATTACTGCACACTGGTATATATTCCTTTTATATTAAATGCATTGAATATGATTTAACACAAAAATATTTTATAAGCAACTTCAGCAGAAATGAAATGCTGGGGAATGATAATAGGCATGCAACCTTTTTAATGGAACAAATATTTTTAATTGATAGAATTATTTTAAGTGCCAATTCTCCAATTGCATTTGACAACAGCACTCTGTATGTTGTACAGTATAATTAACACTTTTGTTGACAAAGGCTGGGGCCTATTAATAGATAGCAGTGTATTTGGTACCATTTTCAAAATAAAATTGTATCCTAATTTGAAAAAAAAAAAAAAAAAAAAAAAAAAAAAAAAAAAAAAAAAAAAAAAAAAAAGAAAGGATTAAGTAAAGGGAAAAGATAAAGCCAAGATAAAAAGTAATTTAGAGGGGAAAAAAATATATATATACTTTAAACCACAATGCTCTTCCTGTTTTTACAACTGATTTCCTGAAAGCTGAATCTCCACAAGGTTAATAAATGTACCTTTCTTGCTGTCCTGTCTATCTATGAATGTCTTGAGAGCACTGCTGACTCTGGACACTTCAGCATGAAACTACTGTCACTTCCTCAGCTACTTCCCCTTCAGAATATTCCTGAATCTCTTCCAGTCTTCTCCCAGAAATAAATTATAAAAAGCTTTTCGAGAGTCTGTCATCCTTCAGCTATGTTAGGAATATAAGCTGAAAAGTCAGCAGTGCCTTCATACTCAACAACTTTTTGCAGCCTTCAAAGTCAACACACTTCTGTGTGTTATTCTGATGATCTTCATTGTTATTACCAATACGACTTTTTACTTATTATGCCTTCTGCTTCATTCCTTTTCACCTAAAAAGTATTTAATGAGAAACAGGGACTCGAGACTCAAAATACCTATTAAATGTTCTAACCTTTATACTAGCAGTCATATTCCCACCAATCTTATTTTACTTCCTTTCCTTTAACTTTTCTTCCCAGTGACAGCTGCAGCTGAGGATGTTTCCATTGCAGCTCCTTTGGTGGCTAAGACATGTCCTTGGGAAAGCAGGATAGGTTTAGATGATGTCTAGTGCTCAGTACCTGCAGGTCCTTGATCTCTTGCCTAGCTGTCTCCAGCAGGGTCGCTCCAAACCAGGGCTCAGTCCTGATTCTTGGAGAAGCAAAACTCCTAAGACTGAACAAGGTTTGGCTCTTTCAGCCCTACATAGTCCTCTGTGACTATACCAGCGGACTGCACTCTCAAACGTTGCCGCATGCCTTCGTATTGTATTCTGCTGTATGTAACTTACTTCTGATATCAGTCTATTGTGCTCATTTAGACTACCAAATTCTGGTGGGATACAATGCAGCTTTCATGCTTTGTAAACATCTTGATCTGAAAAATATCTCCCACACATGGAGATCAAGAAAACATGGCCAAGTGCTGTGGAAGCAGCCAGTGTGTTTTAAATGGATGTAGGCTCTCCCAGGGTGGATACAAGCCAATCTGCGGTGTATGCAGTAGCCCCAGAGCTGAAGGTGGAGCAGGAAGGCAGGTGTCACTAGCTGGGGTTAAAGCAGTGACACCTGCTCAGGCCACAGCGAGGCAGAGGCCCTGCACTGCCAGGGGATGCCCTTCTGAGGGCAGGCATCATATTTATCAGGCTGCAACCTGTGTCCTGTCACTGATTGACAGGTGAAATTTCATTAAATTTATCTGAATAATTAGAATTCTGGATATTACAAAATTGTAATTGTTTTAGAAAATGTTAGAGATGCATATATATAAGCTTAGGGACATAGTTCTGGACCTCTGCTATGGTAGTAGAACATCAAATCAATAAAGGCAGGCTTCTTTTCATAGACCCTTTCTCTGAATCAATCACACTTTCAAAGTAGGAAGAAATGATTTTTCATTTTTTATTGAATGGAAAGTCTACCTCCTAAATTAAATATTACACATAAAAGTAAATCTATAATGAGAATTTTGGCCTTTTTTTTTTTTTTCCTAATTTATTATAAACCATGGAATTGGGAAGTATGAACTCTAGAAAACTAAATAAATCTAGGTGATAAATATATGAGACACATAGTACACTGCTGAACGAAAGTCATAGCAAACCACAGTTCGTAAATATAATCTAAGCATCCTCATGTTGATTGATTTTGAACTTAAACTATGCTCTGAGGGACAGAAATAATAATAATTAATGCTTTGCACTTACATGTGATCTATTATCTGAAGATCCTGAGTACTGCACAGTATTATCTCATTAAACCTTACAACACCCCTGTGAGGGAGGAAAGTGCTTTATTATAGATATTTTACAAATGAGTAAACTGAGGTATTAAATTAGGAAAAAACATGGAAGCTCAGTAGCAATATTAGTCCATATTCCCACAGCAGTTAAAAAGCAAATGCCATGATTTTGCCCATTAAGGAAGAGCAGAAACAAATAAGGAAGTGATTAAAGTTATTCTTCTAAAAAGAGAACAGACCTTCTTGTAAGGCATCGATTTGAGTTTAATAGCTTAAAATAGCACTTTGGAAAGACTGTTGTAGAAGGCAAAGACAGAGGCAAGCTTGCTGAGAGAAGTGAGTGATGTTCTAATTTTAGGGATTTTCAAAAATTAACTGCACAAGATTCTGAACAACTTGAATGTACCTCTGTTTTGAGCACAAGTTAGACAGATGATCTCCAGAAGGTCCTTTCAGACAAAATCTTTCTGTGATTTTTTTATAATCAATATTACACTTCAGATGCTAAACTCTTAACTACATAACAGTATTTAATAAAAATTGTCCATCATGGACATTTAAAAACTACACAGTATTAAAAAAAAATTATCACAATTTTCACTCTAAAAAGAGAATAAATCCCAAATATTTTTTTGAAAATCCATTAAGAATTATGCTATTTCTTTATTTGCAAAGTTAACAGATGTTATTACAAAAAGCAGAAGTAAACACACACAAACAGAAAACCACAGACATATGAAATATTAACTTTCATTTATACATATCTGCAGAACTATCTTATTTCAATTTTAACTGAATTTTGATTACTTATTGGAGACCCTTACACTTTAGCCAGGTAATTTCATTATTTTCTTATCTATATTAGTTAGGAAAAAAGTCTTATAATTTAAAACATTAAGTTTAGTTTGTTTTTTTTGTTTTGTTTTTGGTTTTTTTAGATTTTTAACTTATTTAGTGTAAAAGCATACATATTTTTGTTAGACATTCTTTTTGCCTACTTTTAAAAATATAGTAGCTTTCTTAAAAAATTTTATACTTAGAACTTTTAGAGTGTAGACTTTTTTCCACAATAAAAATGTCACTTATCTTCCTGAATTTTCATAAAATGCAGTGACAGCTCTCAGATGGTATGGTTAACAGGAAAAATCATGAAGTACCTTTTTTTTTTTTTTTTTTTTTTTTTTTTTTCCA